AACTTCTGTGTTCTCCAAATCTCTATCGCATCTAAAAATGTTATTCGTGTCGGTGTTATTCTCCATCTGAGATATGCTCACTCAATCCTGTCTTTACCGCTATACAAACTAAAAATTATTTGTCTGCCCTCGAGCCCCTACAATACTGAAAATAAATTGATAAGTTATACATTTCCTTTTAAACATTAGCTACTAATTTAAAAACAAAGTGTTTAACAAGAAAAAAAGAAAGTAAAGAAATGTATCTTTGATGATTATTTTCATTACATAAGGATCTTTAGGATAATGGACATATACGATTTCAAGTGTACTCGTGAATAATTCAACTGACATACAAAAATGATGTGTATATGCAACATAAAAAAATAGCTTTTACAGTGACAAAAAGAAAAAGTATTTCATTTATATCTCTAGTTTCCAGCTGAGAACCAAATATTTTGATCATAGTTTCCGGGCACCCATATAATTAACAATAAAACTGAAAAAAAAGTTTCAAAAATTAATAAATCTATAAAAATTGTATGCAGTACAACAAGAAATGAAATTGACTTTTTTTTTCATGAATTGGAATATTTTCAAAAAAAAAAAGTATTTTATTTCGACTTAGAAAAGTTTTCTTATACTCGTATTGTCGTGGAACGATGTGATTGGTCACCGGTTCGGGTTGAATTACTGCTTTGCCATCAGTTGAGCCACACCACTCCTCATGACTTTTTGGGGCACCGACGGTAGCCTTTCACGTTCTTCATTTAACATTTAGATGGTGTCGGATGGAACGACTGCATCCTTTTTTATCAACGGTGCCGGGTGGTTATTTGCTTGCTCGCCGATAAGGGGGTTTCCAGTAGGCTCATGTACCTCTTCCATGACATTAGCCAATAGGGCAGCCAGGGGTGGATGGCTCTGAGACCTGCCTTCTTCCTCCATGGATAACGAGGTTGTTGGCTGCTTAGAAAGAGTCCACAATCTAATTTGTAATCCAAGACACAGATGTTGCACTTCACACTGTTTTAGTTCAAGAAGGGTTTCAACTGAGCCTGTATGTGAGTTCAAGTTTTTGAGGGTTTTGACTAACCCTGTATAGTGTTTTGCACTGGCTATGAAATCTTAGGATTTCTCAAACACTTGTGTGGTGGTTAACTGGTTCTGAGGTCCCTTAGGACACTGTGCCTCATAGGAAGTCGAGTGATTGGCAGGTAATGAGCTGGGTAGGGGTCTTCGTCATAGGTAAGGACTGACCTAGACTTGAGGAGCTGTGAGCTAATGAGCTTGAGGATGTGATTTTTGTAAAAAAAAATCTAACTTGGGTGGCGATTTTTGTAAGAAATTTAACTTAAAATTTTATAAAAAATATTTTTGGCTAAACATGCATGCATATTATCCTAGAGTTATACAAGATAAATTTTATCCAAAACTACTGACTTAAAATGGTTGAATACACACTCTGGCACACTCTCCTGCTTAAAGAAGCGTAAATGCCTAGAGTTGACGTTCAGTCGTAGACTAGGTTTTCATCTCTCTGGTTCAAGCCGGCTTCCAAAGCCCATAGCTGGAAATCAGGAAGTTGGTTTATGGCTTCTCCAGAATGTGGAAGTTTCCTGGATTTTCCAGAATAATGATGGACAGGGTGTTGTGTTGAATAGGTCCGGAATTCATAATATTCGGAAATTTTTTACATTTCCGAATTCAAACCTAGTATTCGGTCTCGACACGTAAACAAGCTGTCAGGGATGAGGGTTGCTACATAGGCGTGGTTTGAGTCACTTGGAGCAGTTTTTGGTCAGGGTGACTGCAAATTAGAAACATCAGTGAAAAGTACTCTTCGCCTTAACAGTGCCTGGTGGTGGCATCGGTCTGGGGCGATGACTGCTAAACTAACAGTTTGTGGTGTTCGGAGCAGATTTGAACACAAAAACGAAAAAAATTGGAAAGTGAGGTGATTTTTTGACTGCGCTCTGGTCATCATCATACAGGAGCTTCTGGTCCATTGGGACATCATCCTTGACTCTGGGTATGATAGATGTCGGTTTAAGTGGTTTCAATGTAGCTACCCGTTTTAAAAAAATACTATCACTGTAAAAGTTTGGACCGCTAAAAGGGAGAGGTAACCGGAGAAAACTATCACCTAGTATATCGATTTGACTAAAGCTTTAAGAAATAATACGCCATAATAGTCCAAACAAATGTGCCAAATTTAAACGCGATCGGTAAAAGGGTTATGAAAGTTATTAATTAAATTAGTTTTATTTTTGGCAACTTTGAAGGTTTGCAACTCAAAAACTAAAAATTTTTTGTTTAACTCCTTTTTCGTAGATCGTCTTTATTTATTGTCAAACATTGTCGGTGACATTTGTGGACACCCGGTAGTTCCTTAGTTCCTTTTTTTACATAATGCATATGATAATATAATCGATGGCTTTGGGGTAATGGCCACTTAGGTATATATTTTGCCAAAATAATCGGAATTATTCATTATTCATATTTATACATACCAAACACGAAAATTAGGTCATATCTTGTCCGCTATACAGTTGATTTTTTATGCATTATTTTACAGTGGTAGAAACTTCAGCTCAATAAAATTTTTTAACAAGTACAACATTTTATTATTGCTCCCATCAGGGCATAAATCAGGAAACCAGCTAATAAATTTATTAATTTTATAGTCACAGTTCAGCCGATGAGGTATTTTTAAATTTCTTTAGAAGCGGCCCCTATAACATACATTTTGCCCTGTTAAACAGGAAGGTCGCAACTGACATTTTGTTGGTTTTGAGATAAAGTTTTTATACGACTTTCAATAACACACCTTTTCTGATAAGTATTTTTGTTGAGAATTACTAAGTTAAATTGTCATATCTACTCAGATTTACCATCATCTTCATCTTCATCTTCTAGTGGTTGGTCCTTTAAAAGGCCCAAAGCACTGCGGCCTAATTAGGCCTATTGTGCGTCCCACTACTAGTCCTATTCAGCAAGTAGATTTGTCCTTTTTACAAAGTCCAAAAGCTTCCTTGCTGACACTTCTCTCAGTTCCTTGGGTTCCAAATAGGGTCTCCCAAGGAGCGCCATTCTGCTACGTGCAAATCCCGGGCACTCGCCCAGGATATGCAGAGAAGTTTCATCCGCCGATTCACATCCTCGGCAGACCGGACTGTCTANATTGCAGGCTCTCCTCGTTGAAGGCGGTGATCGCTAGCGTTCCCCCCCTTCGACGACACTCCAGGAAGCGCGGTCGTGTACCCTCGCCCGCGATCCCATCAATGGCCCCCAGAAGCGCCGACTGGACAAGTCCCATCTGGTCCTCATCCATTCGGACCTCCGGGTATCCATGGGGGACCACCACTGCTTGGATCCCCGACAGCGCCTCCCCGTAAGTCTTGCCACGCTGTCCCGTGGCCTTAGGCCTCTTGGAAACAGGCCGGTCGGAAATCGGCTCACTACCGTCCGACCGTCCACGTTTCTTCCCGAGTCCACTTGGCCCCGGTTCAGCAGCCTGCGGAGTTAGAGTGGTACTTGAGCCAGGTTCCGTCACCGGCCCCTGTCCTTTTCCCGCCTCTGCCTTCCGCAGTTTTTTAAGTTTGCGCTTTTGCGCACCAGACAATTTCTTCCTACCTTCCAGGTTCAGTCTGTCGACTCCCCTAGAGATAGTAGTCACTGGTGTTTGCTTCCCAGTGGCTGTTTTATTTTCCGCCTGGTCAGCAATTACTGCTTCCCCGGCGGATGTTGACGGCCCCCTTTCGGGTTCCCGTTTTTTTGATTTATGGTCCATAAAGGTCCCACGAGTCTGGAGGAAATAAAAGTCACCGCCAGGTAGTGCCCCATGCCTGACGGAAGGCTAAATACGATGGGGTGCGCCAGGTTCCCCAAAGAGATCGTTTGCGATGCGACATTTTTACCTACCCCCGCACCATTCAGCCCTCGGCACGATGCGTTTCCACCTTGGCTTGGGTAGCTGAGCTGTTTCTTAGTTTTCACTACTCTCCCTCTACCTTTCCGGCTTGGGTGACCCTGCCAGGAGTATGAAACTCCCACCGGTTTAGCTCTTGGGTTCACTGTAGCTACTTAAGCCCCTCCACCAGCGACAAGGTCATACAGCTCCCAGGAGGGGCAGATTTACCATAGATAAGACAGTTATTTTGCTAGGTAATCTCAGATATAACAATTTTGTTTAGTATACTTTAGAATATGATGAACTTTTAATTGAATTGTTGAATTGAATAATTGTTTGTGATACAGGGTATGGTGTTGAAATTATACCAGAGATTGCTTTGGTTCTTGCAACTATTAAGAATAAACCTAATTTTCATAAAAATGTCCAACAACCTTCTTGCTTACGAAAAAGCAGCACTAACAAATGAAACGAGCCATAATTAAGCTTTGGCTTCACATAATACTTCAATTTTTATAAAAAAAATACATTTTTTTCTGAAAAATTGAATTATTGAATTATTAAAAAATAATTTCTGTTCAGACACAAATTATGGGGCATTAAGTACAGAGTCTTTATAAGTGTTTACGAGCCACGAGGCAGCCGAGCTTACGCAACCTAACAACGCACGATTGGTACTGGTCAAAAAAATTTCTTAAATCTTGGTGTCACTAATATTATTGATTAGTTTTTATTGAACATCACGTCTATTCTCGAGTTAATGCGATCACTGATTGGTTGAATAGAATATCGTGGAAAATTACTTCAATCAGTGATCACATTACCTCGAGTGTAGACGTAACGGTTTGCTACTGTTTATTGGAAATGAATTATTAATATTGGTAATGCCAAGATATAGAAAATTTTTGTTATCAATACCATTGTTGGGTTACCTAAGCTTGGCGGTCATGTAGCTTGCAAACATTTATAAAGGCCCTGTTTATTCTAATGCAGAGATTTTATTTTATAATTCATATAAACTATAAAGTGGTTGTATTTAGTGCAAATTAGTGTACTCTTCAGTGTTGATGGTCGCTTTTGTAAATCTTATTTTATTTTTTAATTTTAGCCAGTAAAAAAAGCAACACCTCTGATTAAAGACCCTAATGTAGTTGAATCACAAGAAGAAGAGGAACAAATTTTAAAGGCTATTGAGCTTTCACTAAAAGAAACAGGATCTCCTAGATCGTCATCAGGACAAACATCTATTTATCCTTCTGTAAATACTAGTGGAATGGCATCTTCTTCAAGTTCCACACCAGGTAAAGAACTGAGAAAAGTAAGAGCTCTCTACGATTTTGAAGCAGCTGAAGATAATGAATTAACTTTTAGCAGTGGAGAAATTGGTAGGTCCTCAGTACTTATTTTACACTGAAATGAATTATCTTACATATTCATAATGTTATATTTTCAGTATTTGTGATAGATGATTCAGATCCAAATTGGTGGAAGGGTAGTAATCAAAGAGGAGAAGGTTTGTTTCCAGCAAACTTTGTGACTGCCGATTTATCAGTAGAACCAGAAAAATTCTGTAAGTTTTAACAATATCTTTATAACTGAACATCTGACCATAAAAATATTCAGTCAGTTTTTGGCTGCTTATACTACAAAATTCAAATATAGCTATATCTATTAGCTATATATTTCATTAAGCTAATTTCTTTTTATAATAAATCTTATCATTGTTTGACATCATTTGATAAGATATTACAAAAAATATGTTTTTAATTTGTTTGAATTAGTTTTAAAATAGAGCAAAAAACATGTATACAAGATGTAATTATAATTCTTGAAAACATTTTTATCACAAAATAAAAAAAATTCATGAATCCATAAATACTTCATTTTCGAGATGTAGAGTGTTAAAGTACAGGGTGTCCCGAAATTAATGCATTGTCCACAAACACGGTGGTTTTGGACCCGTTTGGAGATGGTGACGTGGTTGGGGGTATCCCTAAGAATCCCCAGGGCACGCTGGATGCGTGCAGGAAGCGTTTCTGCACGGCCACGGCTGCTTCTGCGGATGTCGGGTTCGGTTTGCGTTGTGGAACGATAGGTGTAGGGTTCCCCTTAATTAATAAGTAAAGGGGAACTTGTTAACGAATTCTTTTTTCCCTATTTTTTGGAATGGCAGACCAAGCCGTGCGACAAGCTGAGGGGAACAGTCTTAATATACCCCGAAGGGTCGCTGATACTCGGTACTACTACCACTTTCTAACTACTGGTGGGGAAGATTCCCCCGTGTGTATTTAAAAAATTGGTAGCAACTACTAGCCACTAAAGGAGCGGACAATGAGAGGTTATTCAATTCAAACACTATAATACAAGTGTGAAGACCAACTCAGAGATGCTTCTCGTGTCAAGTCTCGACTGAGAGTGAGCTACCGCGGCAAAACTCGGCGGTTATTTAATGAGTAGCGGTCGGACCGAGGACTGGACATCGAGTGTGTCGCAGCCTGTCGTTGAAAAAGGCCCCTTGCAGGAAATCACGCGACACAATGTTGGATTTTTCTTGTGTCCCGTGACACCCCCAGGGTTTCGGAAAAGCATCTCTGAGTGTTGGTGTTTTGTTTTTATTCTATCAAGAAAAAATGGTTAAATACATGGCAAAATACAGTATATAGAATAATATATATGAAATAGTTGGTACTGAAAAATAGGTTAGTGTATGTTAGAGTGTCTTTGGCATTGCGGGGGGCTATCCAACGCTGGCTGCTCCGGTAGTCCGGCTGGCGGCTGGTTGGCTCTACTGGGGGTTGGCCGACGTCCCTGGCCTCTCGTGGGGACGTGGCTGCTGAGTCCTCTTGGTGGGCGGCGGAGAAATAGCGACCATCCTCACTGGACGTCGCTTGCGCCTTATATCAAGGTGTCCGGGAAAATGCTGGGTCGGTCGCTTGGTTGGACCGCCTACAGCGGGTGATGGCTGGTTCGGGGGTTTGGTCTCTGCATGTGGCCTAGCATGGCTAGGGCCTGGTGTCGCCTCAGGGTAGGCTATCAGTGGACATGGAGGGCAGTCGTCATCCAGACGTTGGACCCGTCCATGGTCCGTAGGTTGCCGTCCTGGTTGGCTGGTTGGCTTTATTAGCCTACCAGGGTGGAGACCGTCTTGGTCTTGGGCTTCGGTATAGGGTAGTCGTGGCTCTGTTGGCCGGTCGAGGTGTGGACCATCCTGGTCCTGAGCCTCGACTTGGGGTGCCACTGGCTCTATTGGCCGGCCGGGGTGCAGGTCATCCAGACCTTGGTTCTCGACTTCTGCGGCTTCCGGTGGTGGCATCTCCGACCTTCCAGGTAGACGGTCAGACGTGGCAATTCGGCATTGGCTGGGACGACCTCAATGGTAATGTTGTTGAGGTCGCCGACAAGGGCTTCGACATCCATGTTGTCGAAGGGGTTTGGTTCGATTGCCGAGAGAGGCGATTCGACAATCGGACCTGGATCTGGGAGGCTCACTGCCTCGGTGGCTGGGCTGGAGCCCTGGCTGAGGTCTGGCTCGGACCTGCAGCAGGTTGGTTTGGGGCCGGACGGGTACTGGTGCTTGGTTGAGTTTGATCCTGGTAATTGTGGAAGGACACCTCGCTGTCCAGCAGGGAAGGCCTCAAAGGCAGTCGTGGTGGCGTACCAGGTAGGCACGGTGATGGCTCCATGTCGGATGGTTTAAAATTTTTTTTTTTTTAAATTTTTATTTATTTTTTTATTTTGTTTGGTTTTATTTTGTTTTTTTTTTGTTGGATTTATTTTTATTTTATTTTATTTTTTTTATTTTTTTGGATTTATATTTATTTTATTTTATTTTATTATTTTTTTTTTTTTTTTTTTTTCAAAAATGGTCTTCAGACCTAGGGTGGACCTGGTGGACCTGGAGCGGACCTAGTATGGGCCTGGAGGACCTGTAGCAGACCTGGTGCGGACCTGGTGGACCTGGAGTACGCCTGGTGGAGGCTTGGTGGACCCTTGTGGACCTAGGGTGGACGTAGTAGACCTGGAGTAGGCCTAGCGTGGACGTAGTGGACCTGGTGGACCTGGATTGGACCTGGTGGAGACCTAGTGGACCTGGACTAGGCCTGGTAGTCGTCGAAGATGCTTCGCTGGGATCGCACAGGCTCCCTTGCCTGTGTAGGTAACCTGGATATCGGTTACTCGAGCCTCACGTGCTGGGCGCCATGTCCACGAACGCGGTTGTTTGTGGACACGTTTTGGGGATGGCGACGTGGTTGGGGGTATCCCTAAGAATCCCCAGAACACGCTGGATGCGTGCAGAAAGCGTTTCTGCACGGCCGCGGCTGCTTCTGCGGATGTCGGGTTCGACTCGCGTTGTGGAACGATAGGTGTAGGGTTCCCCGTAATTAATAAGTAAAGGGGAACTTGTTACGAATTCTTTTTTCCCTATTTTGTGGACTGGCAGACCAGGCCGTACCACAAGCTGAGGGGAACAGCCTTAATATACCCCGAAGGGTCGCTGATACTCAGTACTACTACTATTTAAAAAAATTGGTAGCGACTACTCGTCACTAAAGGAGCGGACAATGAGAGGCTATTCGATTCAAACACTATAATACAAGTGTGAAGACCAACTCAGAGATGCTTCTCGTGGCAAGTCTCGACTGAGAGTGAGCTACCGAGGCAAAACTCGGCGATTATTTAATGAACAGCGGTCGGACTGAGGACTGAACGTCGAGTGCGCCGCAGCCTGCTGTTCCAAAAGGCCCCTGGCAGTAAATCACGAGGCGCAATGTTGGATTTCTTTGCGTCCCGTGACACCCCCGGGGTTTCGGAAGAGCATCTCTGAGTGTTGGTGTTTTGTTTTTATTCTATAAAGAAAAAATGGTTGAATACATGTCAAAATACAGTATACAGTATACATATATATGAAATAATTGGAACTAAAAAATAGGTTAATTATGTTAGAGTGTCTTTGGCACGGGGGGGGCTGTCCAACGCTGGCTGCTCCGGTAGTCCGGCTGGCGGCTGGTTGGCTCTACTGGGGGTTGGCCGACGTCCCTGGCCTCTCGTGGGGACGTGGCTGCTGAGTCCTCTTGGTGGGCGGCGGAGAAATAGCGACCATCCTCACTGGACGTCGCTTGCGCCTTATATCAAGGTGTCCGGGAAAATGCTGGGTCGGTCGCTTGGTTGGACCGCCTACAGCGGGTGATGGCTGGTTCGGGGGTTTGGTCTCTGCATGTGGCCTAGCATGGCTAGGGCCTGGTGTCGCCTCAGGGTAGGCTATCAGTGGACATGGAGGGCGGTCGTCGTCCAGACGTTGGACCCGTCCATGGTCCGTAGGTTGCCGTCCCGGTTGGCTGGTTGGTTTTATTAGCGGGTGGTGGCTGGCTCGGGGGTTTGGTCTCTGCATGTGGCCTAGCATGGCTAGGGCCTGGTGTCGCCTCAGGGTAGGCTATCAGTGGACATGGAAGGCGGTCGTCATCCAGATGTTGGACCCGTCCGTGGTCCGTACGTTGCCGTCCCGGTTGGCTGGTTGGTTTTATTAGCGGGTGGTGGCTGGCTCGCGGGTTTGCATGTGGCCTAGCATGGCTAGGGCCTGGTGTCACCTCAGGGTAGGCTATCAGCGGACATGGAGGGCGGTCGCCATCCAGACGTTGGACCCGTCCATGGTCCGTAGGTTGCCGTCCCGGTTGACTAGTTGGTTTTATTAGTGGGTGGTGGCTGGCTCGGGGGTTTGCATGTGGCCTAGCATGGCTAGGGCCTGGTGTTGCCTCAGGGTAGGCTATCAGTGGACATGGANAGTGGACCTGGTGGAGGCCTAGTGGACCTGGACTAGGCCTGGTAGTCGTCGAAGATGCTCGAAGGTGCTTCGCTGGGATCGCACAGGCTCCCTTGCCTTGTTGTAGGTAACCTGGATATCGGTTACTCAAGCCTCACGTGCTGGGCACCATGTCCACGAATGCGGTGGTTTCGGACCCGTTTGGAGATGGTGACATGGTTGGGGGTATCCCTAAGAATCCCCAGGGCACGCTGGATGCGTGCAGAAAGCATTTCTGCACGGCCGCGGCTGCTTCTGCGGATGTCGGGTTCGGCTCGCGTTGTGGAACGATAGGTGTAGGGTTCCCCTTAATTAATAAGTAAAGGGGAACTTGTTACGAATTCTTTTTTCCCTATTTTGTGGACTGGCAGACCAGGCCGTACCACAAGCTGAGGGGAACAGCCTTAATATACCCCGAAGGGTCGCTGATACTCAGTACTACTACTATTTAAAAAAATTGGTAGCGACTACTCGTCACTAAAGGAGCGGACAATGAGAGGCTATTCGATTCAAACACTATAATACAAGTGTGAAGACCAACTCAGAGGTGCTTCTCGTGTCAAGTCTCGACTGAGAGTGAGCTACCGAGGCGAAACTCGGCGGTTATTTAATGAGTAGCGGTCGGACCGAGGACTGGACATCGAGTGTGTCGCAGCCTGTCGTTGAAAAAGGCCCCTGGCAGGAAATCACGGGACACAATGTTGGATTTTTCTGGCGTCCCATGACACCCCCCGGAGTTTCGGAAAAGCATCTCTGAGTGTTGGTGTTTTGTTTTTATTCTATCAAGAAAAAATGGTTAAATACATGGCAAAATACAGTATATAGAATAATAATATGAAATAGTTAGTACTGCAAAATAGGTTAGTGTATGTTAGAGTGTCTTTGGCACTGGGGGGGGGGCTGTCCAATGCTGGCTGCTCCGGTAGTCCGGTTGGCGGCTGGTTGGCTTTGCTGGGGGTTGGCCGACGTCCCTGGCCTCTCGTGGGGACATGGCTGCTGAGTCCTCTTGGTGGGCGGCGGAGAAATAGCGACCATCCTCACTGGACGTCGCTTGCGCCTTATATCAAGGTGTCCTGGAAAATGCTGGGCCGGTCGCTTGGTTGGACCGCCTACAGCGGGTGGTGGCTGGCTCGGGGGTTTGGTCTCTGCATGTGGCCTAACATGGCTAGGGCCTGGTGTCGCCTCAGGGTAGGCTATCAGTGGACACGGAAGGCGGTCGTCATCCAGACGTTGGACCCGTCCGTGGTCCGTACGTTGCCGTCCCGGTTGGCTGGTTGGTTTATTAGCGGGTAGTGGCTGGCTCGCGGGTTTGCATGTGGCCTAGCATGGCTAGGGCCTGGTGTCACCTCAGGGTAGGCTATCAGCGGACATGGAGGACGGTCGTCATCCAGACGTTGGACCCGTCCATGGTCCGTAGGTTGCCGTCCCGGTTGACTAGTTGGTTTTATTAGTGGGTGGTGGCTGGCTCGGTGGTTTGCATGTGGCCTAGCATGGCTAGGGCCTGGTGTCGCCTCAGGGTAGGCTATCAGTGGACATGGAGGGCGGTCGTCGTCCAGACGTTGGACCCGTCCATGGTCCGTAGGTTGCCGTCCTGGTTGGCTGGTTGGTTTTATTAGCGGGTGGTGGCTGGCTCGGGGGTTTGCATGTGTCCTAGCATGGCTAGGGCCTGGTGTCGCCTCAGGGTAGGCTCTCAGTGGACATGGAGGGCGGTCGTCGTCCAGACGTTGGACCCGTCCATGGTCCGTAGGTTGCTGTCCCGGTTGGCTGGTTGGTTTTATTAGCGGGTGGTGGCTGGCTCTGTTGGCCGGTCGAGGTGTGGACCGTCCTGGTCCTGGGCCCCGACTTGGGGTGCCGCTGGCTCTATTGGCCGGCCGGGGTGTAGGTCATCCAGACCTTGGTCCTCGGCTTCTGCGGCTTCCGGTGGTGGCATCTCGTCTTCCTCGTCCGAGGAGACGTCATCATGGACTGGATTGCCCGGTGGTGCTGGGCTTGTTGGTCGAAAAGGAGGGTCACGGCTTGGGTGCCCTGACTGGTGACGGTAGTGTTACCACAGGCAAGTTGCACCTGGGTAACATGATCGCCCTGGGTGGCTGTTGGTTGGACAAGATCGGCTCGCACTATGTTGAGGGCGGCTCCAGAATCAATTAGGGCGGTGCATCTCTGACCTTCCAGGTAGACGGTCAGACGTGGCAATTCGGCATTGGTTGGGACGACCTCATTGGTAATGTGGTTGAGGTCGCCGACAAGGGCTTCGACATCCATGTTGTCGAATGGGTTTGGTTCGATTGCCGAGAGAGGCGATTCGACAATCGGACCTGGATCTGGGAGGCTCACTGCCTCGGTGGCTGGGCTGGAGCCCTGGCTGAGGTCTGGCTCGGACCTGCAGCAGGTTGGTTTGGGGCCGGACGGGTACTGGTGCTTGGTTGAGTTTGATCCTGGTAATTGTGGAAGGACACCTCGCTGTCCAGCAGGGAAGGCCTCAAAGGCAGTCGTGGTGGCGTACCAGGTAGGCACGGTGATGGCTCCATGTCGGATGGTTTAAAATTTTTTTTTTTTTAAATTTTTATTTATTTTTTTATTTTGTTTGGTTTTATTTTGTTTTTTTTTTGTTGGATTTATTTTTATTTTATTTTATTTTTTTTATTTTTTTGGATTTATATTTATTTTATTTTATTTTATTATTTTTTTTTTTTTTTTTTTTTCAAAAATGGTCTTCAGACCTAGGGTGGACCTGGTGGACCTGGAGCGGACCTAGTATGGGCCTGGAGGACCTGTAGCAGACCTGGTGCGGACCTGGTGGACCTGGAGTACGCCTGGTGGAGGCTTGGTGGACCCTTGTGGACCTAGGGTGGACGTAGTAGACCTGGAGTAGGCCTAGCGTGGACGTAGTGGACCTGGTGGACCTGGATTGGACCTGGTGGAGACCTAGTGGACCTGGACTAGGCCTGGTAGTCGTCGAAGATGCTTCGCTGGGATCGCACAGGCTCCCTTGCCTGTGTAGGTAACCTGGATATCGGTTACTCGAGCCTCACGTGCTGGGCGCCATGTCCACGAACGCGGTTGTTTGTGGACACGTTTTGGGGATGGCGACGTGGTTGGGGGTATCCCTAAGAATCCCCAGAACACGCTGGATGCGTGCAGAAAGCGTTTCTGCACGGCCGCGGCTGCTTCTGCGGATGTCGGGTTCGACTCGCGTTGTGGAACGATAGGTGTAGGGTTCCCCGTAATTAATAAGTAAAGGGGAACTTGTTACGAATTCTTTTTTCCCTATTTTGTGGACTGGCAGACCAGGCCGTACCACAAGCTGAGGGGAACAGCCTTAATATACCCCGAAGGGTCGCTGATACTCAGTACTACTACTATTTAAAAAAATTGGTAGCGACTACTCGTCACTAAAGGAGCGGACAATGAGAGGCTATTCAATTCAAACACTATAATACAAGTGTGAAGACCAACTCAGAGATGCTTCTCGAGTCAAGTCTCGACTGAGAGTGAGCTACTGAGGCAAAACTCGGCGGTTATTTAATGAGTAGCGGTCGGACCGAGGACTGGACGTCGAGTGCGTCGCAGCCTGCCGTTCAAAAAGGCCCCTGGCAGGAAATCATGGGGCGCAATGTTGGATTTTTCTTGCGTTCCGTGACAGCATCAAAATTTGGTCATAGAATCTTGAGTCAAATTTAGGGACTCGTATTTTATCTTTTTGCCAAGTGGCCCCCCCTTTCCGAGTTACAGCCCCCTGAAATCTGCCCCTGTTTTTTTTTATTTCAGAACCCTGTTGTACAAGAATCTCTAAATTTGGTACACAGGGATTTAATGACATGTGGAATCTGATAGTGCTATGCTTTTTGGCGGGGAACCCTCTTAAGACACTTTCTCGTGGCCCCCCTTGCCTCTGGACCCAAAAAAAAAATTGGTCGGAAATTTGAATTTCTTAAAAATTATTAGTGAGATAGAAAGCCATTGAATTTAGAAAAATTTTTTTTCTCTTAAAATTTTTTTCGTAAAATGCAATGTTTTTGAGGAAAATGCCGAATCACTATACATTCGATCACATTTTGACATTTTTCTCGAGAACATTGCGTTTTATGAAAAAAGTAAAGAGACAAAAAAGTTTCTGAATTTAATGGCATTCTAGCGGACTAATAATTTTTAAGAAATTTAAATATGCGACCAAATTTTTTTGGCTCCAAAGACAAGGGGGCCCAGGAAAAATTGTCTTAAGGGGGTTCCCCGCCAAAAGCGTAGCACCATCAGATTCCACATGTCATAAAACCCCTGTGTACGAAATTTAGTTACAACAGGGTTCTGAGATATAAGAAAAAGATTATTCTTAGAGGCAGATTTCAGGGGGTTGTAACTCCAAAAGAGGGGGCCACTTGGCAAAAATAAAAAATACGGGTCCCCTAAACATGTCTTAAGAATATGTGATCAAATTTTGTTACATTAATTTCGGGGCACCTTGGAGAGATAAATATTTTTGAATTTGTGATTTTTTCATATTATTTACATAGCTAATATCTATGCAATTTAAAAGGAATAATATTTTTTTCTCTCATTTTTAACACCCTTTATTGCAAATCATGACAAGTATATGTTTATTGAATCTTTTGGGTTAATTTGCAATGTAAAATTTTTATTGAATCAACATGTTTTCAGTATACGAGAAGGCTAAGAAAATGGTACAGTTTAAAGAGACGGCAGAAGTTAAATTCTTGAAAGAGGAACTTGTAAATATAGAGATAAACGAAGAAAAAATTGACAGATTATTACATTTACTACATGAAGCTGATCCTACAAACCTTGAAGCAGATACTGACGAAATGTTAAATTTAGAAAGTAAGTTGTATCGATACAGAATTTTAGAACCTTTACTATTTTACTTAGATCATAGGTCATCCATATCATCTTACTTGCTGAACAGTGGAGATTTTTGTGGTTTGGTATAATTTTGTTCCTTTGTTTCCATATATTAAATCAGTGGCGGCGTGTGAACATTGATTGAATGTTTTCTGCTTAGGGTTGTTACATTTGTTGAATTGAATTCCGGGATATTAAGTGCCCGGAGAGTCCCTAAATGGCGCCGCAGGCGAAAAATTTTTAAATTTTCAAGGTCACGCATTTTCCTGGCACTTCTGAATTTCAAGGAACAATCCATTTATACAAATATACAGATTTTCACAAGAACGATTTTTGAAATTGATACCTTTTTGAAATATCTATTCACGAATTACCTACTGACGGTATAAATAAATTGAAATAAACTAAATATATTTTATTAAATTATTGAATATTGTTTATAAACAAAAAAATCGTTTGTGAAATTTACCAACGATTCAATGAATTTTAATTTTCCTCGCTGTATTATGATTTTTTCTTTATCTTTTTTTATATACATAAAATCCCAAAAATCAACGTTAAGCCGGAAACGGGTGATAGGCCAAGTCGTGACAGTTATTAGAAAAATATAAAAAAAAGTCTTTGTCATGTACTTTTCAAATTATAAATATCAAAAAATAAATTGGAAAAACTGACATCCTGTGATGATCTATCAAGTCCTGTGACTACAAATATTAATGTTTCGTCAATGTTTTCTCTGTAATGTAATCATGAATAACCCTTCTGTAAATTACAGTTTAAAATTAAAACATAACTGCCTCAATTTCAAATAAAATGTTGGATTTTTGCCCAACATAAAATTCAAAATAATTACATCACCCGACTTTAACCGACTGTACTGTAAAAAAAATGTACTACACTATTTAGGCAAGTAATTTTATAAGATGGCGCATTTAGTCCGGATACTTCTTTGTTTAGGAAAAAAAAATTTTTTTAGTGGAACCTGATTTCAGGCCAATTTTCAGGCCAAAAAATTTTTTTTTCCTAAACGAAGTAATCTAGCAAGTATCATACCATTTTAGAATCCGGACTAAATGCGCCATCTTTTAAAATTACTTGCCAAAATAGTGTAGTACATTTTTTTTACAGTACAGTCGGTTAAAGTCGGGTGATGTAATTATTTTGAATTTAATGTTGGGCAAAAATCCAACATTTTATTTGAGACTGAGGCAGTTTTTTCCAATTTATTTTTTGATACTTATAATTTGAAAAGTACATGACAAAGATTTTTTTTTTTATATTTTTCTAATAACTGTCACGACTTGGCCTATCGCCCGTTTCCGGTTTAACGTTGATTTCTGGGACACCCTGTATATGTAGGGTGTCTTGAAATTCATGCAACAAAATTTGGTCATAGATTCTTAAGACAAATTTAAGGAACCCATATTTTTTCTTTTTGCCAACTGGCCCCCTGTTTCAGAATTATAGCCCCCTGAAATCAGCCCCTAAGAAGTCTTTTTTATATCTCAAAACCATGTACTTACTAGAATCATTAAATTTGGTACACATGGGTTTTATGACATGTGGAATCTCACAGTGCTACGTTTTTTAGCGAGAAACCCCCTTAAGACGCTTTTTCATGGGCCCCCTTGTCTTTGGAACCAGAAAAATTTGGTCGCAAATTTGATTTTTTTTTTTTATTATTAGTTAGCTAGGAAGCCATTGAATTAAGAAACTTTTTTGTCTCTTGATATTTGTTTTGTAAACGCAATGTTTTTGAAGAAAATGGCGAATCATGATATGCATTCGATCACATTTTGACATTTTTCTTGAAAACATTGCGTTTTACGAAAAAAGCATAAAGAGATAAAAAGTCTCTAAATTTAATGGCTTTCTAGTAGACTGATAATTTTTAAGAAATTTAAATATGCGACCAAATTTTTTTGGCTCCAAAGACAAGGGGGCCCACGAAAAATTGTCTTAAGGGGGTTCCCCGACAAAAAATTAGCACCATCAAATTCCACGTATCATAAAACCCCTGTGTACCAAATTTAGTGATTCTCGCACAACAGGGTTCTGAGATATAAAAAAAAATTATTTTTAGGGGTGGATTTCAGGGGGCTGTAACTCCGAAAGAGGGGGCCAGTTGGCGAAAATAAAAAATACGGGTTCTCTAAATTTGTCTTAAGAATCTGTGACCAAATTTTGTTGCATGAATTTCGGGACACCCTGTATTATATTCCGGAAGTTATACGTGCAAATCTGAAATCAGGGACCATACAGCTAATTCCCGGTACAATCGCAGAAAATCCCAGTCATACCCATGTGCCTAGATGTTCTTTTAATATGCCTTTAAGATCTGCACTAAAATTTATGAGTCCACGAAACACATCAGGGTTGTCCGCATTTTCTGTTTCGTCGTGTCCGCGAAGTGCTAATTCGAAAGCTCCGCAAAATTTTATGCAATTTATGATATTAGATAATACATAACGATTTTTCGTTACCTGTTCATTGTGTTTCCGTATATTATCCCAACATCCAGAATCTAACTGAATTCTTATGGTTTATTTTATCAAATGACTTAAATCTTTTACACTGTATATTGTCCATGCTTTATCCCCACCGAAAAGTAAGCATGGAAAACAAAACAGTATATTTTTTATTATCACACCCGCACACCCAGTCTGCTTTTGTGTATACATTATTGTTAAATTGTCTTTTATAACTTTTACTTCGGCTTGTTCCATTAACTTCAATATTTAATTGTGGTGTTGGCCAAACCTAATTCTTTTATTTTTAGTTTATCCTCATAAGGCAGAGAACGAAATAAAGTTTTTTGTAAAAACAAAACGTTATTCATTTTAATAACTATAATATCCGTAGACGCCTAAACAAAAATATTCACACGTGCCGCTCGCAGAAATAAACCACCACATACCACGTACGAAATATTACTGCCAATTACTGCATCTACTGCAGCAGTGGCTGTCGTTGCAGCCACATAAGCCAATATAAAAGTGTACTGGGTCATGTGCCTGATTAGCCAATAAAAACAAAGGACGCATTTAACTGTTCGCTGTGCACACATTTTATATATGGGGTTGCATATATTAAGGAGCATAGCTCGCGTCGTAATAAATAATAATATAAGCTCCTAGATTTATTTTAGCGCGAATACATTTGGATTCTAAATATTTTGTTGATATTTAATATTTTAATATGATTAAATACATAAAATTTTATGTATTCTGCAGCTCCGCAGCTCTTATGGTTAAACCGCCACTGTATTAAATACATTGCTGATAACTTCTTATTTATGCTAAATTAAGTTCTTTTGATGCTTGTGGTTGGTAAGAAAGTTTCTACCATCACGGAAGATACAACACAGGGGAATATTAAAATGAACCCTGATTTAAATGATTGCTGTACAATTTGGAAATGTGAATACATCAGTAACCTGTTTCACTTTAAACTGTAATGCACTACTTTGTAATTTAAGTTGTAAGTTAAATTGGTTGCTAAATGAGGTGTTGAATTGATGATTTATAATTTCTTACAAATTTAATATTTCAAAATTCACGGAGACGGTCCTAACATTTTATACCTATACCTTATTATCTGTTGAATATAGGGAAAGTAGCAACAAAATGATTATATACAGGGTGTCCCAGTGTGAGCATGCAAAAATTCACCAGGGGATAGACCAGACCAAAATAAGATTAAAATTGTTATAAAATATTTTTCTGCGATGCACTCACACTGAATTACAGGGTGTTTGCACGTGTGGAGTGATGAGTATCTTAAAGAAACACGACCTTAACTGAACTCAAAGTTTTAAATCCGTGACATTGCTACGCGAACCGAAACATACAGACCTGCAAATGTCATTTTTCTCAAGAATGGCTTTCTGTTGGTGATTTTCTCAAGAGAAATTTTTTTTTTTTAAATAAAACGACCCTTTCAATGTTGCCCGTTTTAAAATAATACGACCACTGTAAAAGTTTTGACCGCTAAAAGGGAGAGGTAACCAGAGAACCAAATAAATGTACCAAATTTTAACGCGATCGGTAAAAGAGTTATTAATTAAATTAGTTTTATTTTTGACAACTTGGCAACTGAAGGCCTGTAACTCAAAAATCAAAAAGTTTTTATTTAACTTTTTTTTCCTAGATCGTATTTAGTTATCGTCTTGAATATGCAGTCAAACGTTGTTGGTGAAATTTGCAGACACATTGTATATCAGTGATATTAAATACAACAAAGCAATTAATTCACTGACTTTCGCTTTTGGACCAGCCTATAATAATTATGAATAATGAACACTTCCCTTCTATCCAATTTTACCATCCAATAATTTTCCAATTAATAATGTCTATTATGGGATAACAATAACGGACAGTGAACAAAAGAGAAGAACACCAATTAACCAAAACTAATTAGAATATTTTAAAAGCAAAACAGAAATCAAATATGAAAATGCTGACCTTTCCAACATTTATATCCTCCATCAAGATATCATAAAACATTTTCTACGCTTCTGTATTTTCTTTTTCGTCTTCAATGTAAGCACGTGTTACGACATCCGTTGAGACTAGAAAGAGAAAAAAATGTCCTTTGAATTCTGTTAGATTTGTGTGTTAACACTCAAAACTAATAAAAGATCACTGAAAAATTATTATTGTTTTACTGTTTAGAATTAATTAAAAAATGTAAACAGCAAATAAAAAATGGGGCTGTTTTTCCTAACCTAGTTTACTATAAACAGCAGTTTGCAAAGTCTTTGTTGAAACAATATTTAACAATGTAAATTCATGTTTTACAAGATAATAAACAATACGTTTTATAGATAATTAGTTCATATTATTAGTTACTATTTTTTGCTGCTCTTATTTCGTTAGATGTCATTTTTAATAATAAATATGTAATTATTTATTAATAACTAATTGAATACTTTTAGTAAACAAATAAAATAATATTACAACATAATATTACAATGAATAAGTCAATATAAACTAAGCCTTTTCCGCAATTTTATACTAATTTCGCTACATAGCGGCACTTTCTGGGCTCTGATAAATTTTCTAGTTCTAATTTTACAATGAATTATTCCTGTTATTATTTTTTTTCAAGCAAACATATAAATTAATAAAATAATTTGCCATATCTAGGAAACCTTCGTTTATCAGTAGCAAAAAATATAATTTAGGATTTCCTAAAAACTTAATTTTTTTTTAAGAAACAACAAAATCGAATCATTATTACTTTGGCCCATCGTCATGTGCATGTATATGCTAAGATTTTTATATTATAATCAAATCACTACCACTATTACGATATCTATAGTATTTAAGAATAGCACAGCCATTAACCATATTAATAATAATGTTTCAGGAGAAGTTAATGCTATGGGCCCTTTAATAGACACTGAATTAGAAAGAGTCGATAGGAAACATGCCCAATTAACTCAATTAAGTTCTGATCTAGTTGAAGCTTTAAGTTTATACCATATGCTAATGAGGGAACCACAATTGCCTCCAGTGAACAAAGCAATGTATGGGTATTCATTATCAACTACTGCTATGGTAAGTTGTTACTTCGGTTATCTAGTTATTTACAAAATATATAGAAATCTTGAAAAGGGGGCACATTTATTTACAAAATATGTTTTTTGTGTTCAACTGATAGATACAAGCAGGTGATTTTTTTGCAGAATTTTAATTTTTCTTTAAATTACAGCATTATGAAATTTGAAAAATGAAATGTTAATATCAAATTCAAATTTAAATATACTATATACACTATGAAGAAAAATTAATTTTGCAAAAAATAAAAAAAAGACACCTAATTGTGTCTATTAGTTGAGCACGAATAAAAATATTTTGTGAATATGAGTGCAACCCTTTCCAGGATCTCAAGGTCAGCCACCCTTATTTTTATTTCGCAAATTTCATTTGAAATTTTTTCATCATGAAAATGGTATGTGATCCATAATTCCTTATCAAAACATGACATTAATTTTCGAGAGACGTCACTAGTTATTTACTGTACTACTGTACATTCTACTTGTTTTATGACAAAAATGATATTGAGAAAACTACACACTAAAACATTGTATATTGCTTTACATTGTATTATAGTAGCTACTTATCTATTAGGGAATGATCTATTGGTGACCAAACCCTAATTTCGATTTAGTTAATAAACAATTCTAAGAGAATCAAGATCAATTTCAATCATAATTAATGATTTTTATCATGAATACTGTTGGCATTACATCTTTAAATCAAAATGTAACCAGAATTCACTAAAAAAATTGTAGAAAAATTAGAGCCAGTCCTATTCTTACAGAATTTGTTAATGAATTTATTGTCATAAATAATTTGACAATGATACATAGCTAGTTCAAGGTCAAAAAATCAATCTTTAACTATAAAGCTACTATAAAGCTGTATTCTGTATCTTATAGGTTAAAATTAACCATCCCGTTAAAATATTAATTTTAACCCTACCTCTAAAAATAATAACTCCAACTGGTATTCTGTATAAGTTTTTTTAACGGCCCAGTTAAAATAATTTTATTAGCCGTACTTTAATTTTTCACTGTTAGTGGTGTTAGCAGTAAGATAAAAGCATAGAAATATTTATATTTTTCTATGGGTAAAAGATGTCGATTTGTGATAATACAACCTCGATTGGTGGATTAGTACAAATAAAGTAAAAAAATTATAAGATTCTTGTGATTTAGCCGAGTTATGGGGGGTGAAAAAAAAAAACACGACAGAAAAACAGATCCAATTAATTGTTGACTTTTTGGAAGTCAACAATATTTTATAACAAATTGTAGCCTTATTAAATTGTGGTTGCAAATAAACCTTAAAATGATTTAATTTGTAGGGCCATTATAACGTTTATAAATAATAGAGATCAATTATACCATTTGTCAAGACAGGTTAAATTTTAACAGCATCTATTTTGGTCCCACTACTGATACTAGTAATATCAGTGTTTTTGCATTTGTTGCATTTGAAGTTTTTTGTCAAATGACAATAAACCTGTTTTGTTTTTGTTGAAGACATATTTAAATTTTGAAATTTGTATCAATATTACAAATAAAGACCTCCACTTTGCAATTTTTGTAGAGACTAAGTCATATTTTTGCCGAAAAGATATAACAATGTCTAGCAATACTTAAAGTGTGGTGGAGCATTCTTGCAAATAAAGATCTCTTCTTATCTCATTTAGTTTAAAATATATTTGATATTTTCGATGGTGCTGCATACGTCAATGTTTTTAAAAAACAACTCCGAAAAGGTACATTTTACATGCAACATCTGTCAAAGTAGATTTTAAATTTGGTGTTTCGAAAAATGTACCATATCAAAGTTAATTATTTCTGCATTCTATTGGGTTTCTTGGAATGATAAAAAACTAAAAAAGTATACACCAACTTCGATGAAAGTTTCTTACTTCTATTCTTGAGTTCTTCTTTTTTTTGAGATTATTTAATTTCTCTATAAATGAATTGTTGAAGTAAAATTAAATCTTTAATATGTCTCGGGTTAAAATATTTGCTTCTATTTTTTTCTTAGATTTGGATTTTTTTAGAGGCCACATTGGAATTTGTCTCTGACTAAGATGTTCTGCTTTCAGAGGTTGTTGTATAAAAAAAATTATTGTGATATAGATCAGAAACAATTAAATGTAAAATTTAGCAAGAAATAGATATTTAAGGGCCTTGGCTTTTAGGAAAAATTTTATTCGCCTTTGTGTTACACTCGTCATTCTGGACTGTTGTTAAACACTGTATCTAATAAATATATCACACTAAACGAATTCACATATTAAGAAATCACTAATTAGTTAACTAGTAGACAATATAATTTTTCAACTTTTTGAATATTTTGCCATACTGCAAATTAAAAATGTCTATAAAAAATAGTAAATAAGCCCCTGCTTGCAAAGGTCGGTCAGGGATTGGTTTTAACAAACTTATTTTTGCCTATTTTAAAATTTCACAATGAGAAGCAGATAAACTTATCACATGTTAATGTTTAATTATTTTGATTATAGGAGTCAATTTCAATGTATATGTTAAATGTTTTTTAGGCTTTGAATAACACTGTTTCTCAAAATGTTCATCCTTCCTTATTGGGTCCGAGGCTACATCCAGCTCATGAAAGAGCTCCATTTATACATTCGGGGAGTGGACAAGTGCAACCACCACAGTTTCCATCAATACAAATGACAAATTCGAGTCATTTACCTTCTATTCAAGGAATGCCATCTCCTCATACCCATGAGACACCCCTGAATCAATATTTAGATCCTAGGTACGTATATTATTGTTTGCTGATCTTTTTAAAGAGTATTACTAAAAAATGTATACAGTAAAATCACATTAATCCGGCACGATTAAAAACCTAAGAGTGCCGGAGTACTGCAAAATTCGAATTAAGGGAATATGTATATGTAAACAGTATTAAATTAAAAAACGTTATTTTTAATTGTTAATTAAATTTGTGTATGCATATGTATGTATATTGTAATAACTGTATAAACTGTATTCTTCAAGGATAGTAGACAAATGCAACATGTGTAGTAACAGGCAGAAAAAATAACGCCAAATTACTGGATGTGCCGGTGTTGTGAAGTGCTGGATTATAGAGATTCTACTGTATATTCCGAAAGGAGTAAATCTACTATTATTGAATGAAGTTTATCTATTCGAAGGTATTGCATTCAAAAATTTTTAAATGATGGGGAAGTGTTAATCATAATATATATTGCAACAAAAGTTACTCCCTTGAGAAGTAACAACTAATCTGCTTTTTTTAACAGTTGTATATCCTTATGTTTTTGTGAAATATTAAGCCTACATTAATTCTGCTATACAGGGTGTTCCTAAATAAGTGTCGCAACGGAAAACTGTAAATTCCTCTTGTAAAAAGAAAAATATTCAGAGAACGTTGGATCGGAAGAGGTGGTCTGGTGCCCTGGCCCGCCCGTTCATTTATTTATTTATCCATCCAAGCACACATACACTATTGAGCCCTATACAATAGTGCTTCTATATAGGGTGATTTTGAATAGAGTAGCACAAACGCTACCAGTGCATCTAGATGAAAAAATAAGGTGAATGCACTAAATATACCTTAGACAAAAGTTGCACTCCTGAGGAATTACAGGGTCTTGAATGTTGTAGAGCCAACCGATATTTCCTTCAATTTATCTTGAACGATGTGGCATAAATCATTTATATTTGGTACAGACATTTGTCCAGTGCGGACACATACTTTCTATTAATATTGTTTAAATATATCCACCAGAGGCGCTGCTGTCGACTACATGCAACATATTACTCCAAAGAATTTTTCACCCTGTATGAAAATACATATCTTATTTACATTTTTGGACGTAACAACTAAAAACAAACATTTTTTCTGTCTTGCATTTTCTGGTAAAGTAATTTTAATAAATTTATTTAGGTGTATTCTTTATGTAACAAATAAAATTATTTTAAGTGTCTAATTTAAGTAGTAATATCTAATTTAATACTACCTACTGTAATCTCGATTGTAATACTACAATATAACATTATTTTAAAGTAAAAATTTTATAAAGAATATTTTGAAAGTAGTTCCCACTTTCCTTTGAACACAATCTAACACGATTTGTTTGAGGATTTCCTGCTTAAATTGATAAGTATGGGAATACTTTGCCAACATCATAGTTGCTCCTGGTACTTCTTCTTCTTCTACTTCTTCTACTTCTAGTGGTTGGTCCTAATAAGTCCCATAGCACTGCGGCCTGATTAGGCCTATTGTGCGTCCCACTACTAGTCCTATTCAGCAAGTAGATTTGTCCTTTTTACAAAGTCTGACACTTCTCTCAGTTCCTTGGGTTCCAAGTAGGGTCTCCCAAGGAGCGCCATTCTGCTACGTGCAAATCCCGGGCACTCGCCCAGGATATGCAGAGAAGTTTCATCCGCCGATTCACATCCTCGGCAGACCGGACTGTCTACAAGCTTTAGTCTTATGTAGATGTTTCCTAAAGTGACAGTGTCCCGTTATGAGTCCTGTCACTCTCCTGAGCCGGATTCTGTTCAAGCTCAGTAACTCATTCGCTCTTCCATTCGAAGGATACTCCATAAGCTCCTTGGAATGGCTATGTCCTGGCCTTGAAGTCCAGTATTTCCTATGTTCTGTCTCTGTCCATTTGCCCAGAGCCCGCCTGACCACACTGGGAGATGTGCCACAGAAGGGCTCCGGGCCAATGAACTCTGTTTCGGATCCCTTCCTAGCAAGTTCATCCGCTTTCTCATTTCCACAAATGCCTTTATGCCCTGGCACCCAACACAGTCTGACTGTATTGTTGGTGGCCAGTTCAGTCAGCATTTGTAAACAATCCCACACCAGTTTTGAACTTACCTTGTGTGCGGCTAAAGCTTTAATTGCAGCTTGACTATCAGAGAATATATATATGAGTTTACGTCTATAACCTCTACGTACATTCTCTGCCAGACACGCCATTATCGCGAAGATTTCTGCTTGGAATACAGTGGGGAACTCCCCCAGACTGTAGCTTGCACTCCATCTGGGTCTGAGTCCATATATTCCTGCACCCGTCCCTCTGGTCATTTTGGAGCCATCTGTAAACCATACTAGGCTCCACCTTTCCAGGGTATTAAACCTTTCCTCCCACTTGCTTTGATCCTCTATTCGAGTCTCAAATGGCTTGTGGAAGTGAAACCTTGGAACCATCTTGTCGGATACCATCCCAAAAGTTGGTTCCGACATAGATGTGTCTATGATCCTGGAGTGGGAACCACCCCTCCAGTCATTATTATTCCTGAGTCGATATGCTGCTAGCCGTGCTTCTCTTTCCACCACTATATGCATCGGTGGCAGATTTAGCATGACTTCTAGTGCAGCTGACGGGGTCGATGCCATCGCCCCCGCTATATCTAAACAGGTCAATCTCTGAATTCTATTCAGTTTTTCCCTCGCTGTGGTCTGTTGTATTTTCTGCCATCATACCACAGCGCCGTAAAGAATCCTAGGTCTTACTATCGACGTATACAACCAGTATGACATCTTTGGTTTCAGTCCCCAGGTGCTCCCTATAAGGCGACGGCATACACACAATGTCTGCTTCGCCTTACTCACCACTTTTTCCAAGTGCGCATTCCAGGTAAGCTTATTATCCAGTATCACTCCTAGATATTTTACTTCCCTGGAAAGTGTAATGCTCCTCTCCCCTATTATAGGTTCAGAGAGTCCAGTTAAATTTCTTCTCCTGGTGAAGGGTACTACGACCGTTTTGTCAGGGTTTACTGACAGTGCCTGCCCCTTACACCAGTCATCTATCCATTTCAAAGCCTCTTTCATGAGTTCTGAAACGATAATATTATGTTTCCCGACTATGAGAACGACCAAGTCGTCCGCATAGCCTTGTGTATAAAATCCCTTTCGATTAAGGCCCTCCAGTGCGCCGTCCACCACTAATCCCCATAACAAGGGAGACAGTACGCCTCCCTGGGGGCAGCCCCGGCCTACCTTACACCTGGATGTCTCTCCCGAAAGGGTAGCTGTTACTGTCCGGTTTCTCAACATGGTATCTATCCAACGACACAAAGTGTCTTCAAGGCCCCTGTTGCGAACTGCCGAATTAATAGATTCGAAAGGTGTATTGTCAAATGCCCCTTCAATATCTAAAAAAGCTGCCAAAGCTAGATCTTTGTCGTCCATTGCCCTCTCTATCCTAGAGACTAGGCTATGAAGGGCTGTGTCGACTGATCTGCCTGCCTGATAGGCGTATTGGTACCTGTGCAGAGGATTTGCCCTCAATACCCCGTCCCTTATATGCCTGTCAACTATTCTCTCCAACGTTTTCAGGAGGAAAGATGTTAAACTTATCGGGCGATATGCCTTTGCCTGGGCATACGATGGACGCCCTGGTTTAGGAATAAACGCCACGTTCGTCGATCTCCATGCCAGCGGTATATAACCAAGTGCAATGCTGGCTCTGAAGACGTGAATTAAGACCGGAGCTAGACAGTCCACCCCCTGCTGTAGCAGTACAGGTAGGATTCCATCGGCTCCTGGTGATTTAAATGGGTCAAAAGAACTTATTGCCCATCTTATTCGTGACTGACTCACCACCGTCTTGGCAACCTCCCAGTTCTGTCGAGACCCGGTCGTTACCCTCTGCTGGTGATTCCAGTCATATTCATCTCCATGATTTAATAACCTGGAGCCTGGAAAGTGAGTATTTAGAAGTAATTCCAATGTCTCCCTTCCAGTTTTAGTATATTCCCCACTCGGTGGTTTAAGAGACCCGAGTTTCGTATTTCCATTCTTAGAGAGAAGTCTCTGGAGTTTAGCACACTGTGGGACACTGTCAATATCCTCACAAAACTTCCTCCATGAGTCTCTCTTCGCTTTCCTAATTTCTTTATTATACTCAGTGAGGGTTGCTCTATAAGCCTCCCACTCTCCTGTCCGCTTTGCTCTATTGAATAGTTTCCTCGTCTGTCCCCTCAACTGCGTGAGCTCCTTGCTCCACCAGGGTACGGTGTGCTTATCGGACCTCACTTTGATAGGACAGCTATATTCATATAATCTTGTGACGGCGTTTTGGAGTTCTTCCACAGCCCTCTCAAGATCATATGTGTTTCTTAGTTTTGTACAGATTTCCCTAGTCCTGGCCTGTAACTCCGTTCTATAGGAGTCCCAGTCAGTTCTTTTTGGGTCTCTGTAGGTTCTTACTTGCAGATTATAATCCGTTATGATTTCAAAGTGGATATGTTTATGATCCTTCACTTCTATTTTTTATAACAAAGATGGGCTCGTTCCCGACATTCAAAATCTCTAGATTATAACTAAAAAGAAAATCTAGTAAAGACTCACCTCGATCGTTGACATTGACACGCTGCTTCCCCACACCGTATGGTGTGAGTTAGCATCACATCCCACGATGAGTTGTTTCTTCTCCTTCTCGCACCAGGCCACCAGGTCCCTCAGTTCCCTGGTTGGAGGAGATTCTTTCTTATCGTAAGGGAGGTACGCTGAGCAAACTACCAGTTGTCTCTGCGTTCTCTCCGATACGTAAGTCACTTAGGCCACCACCAGGTCATCCGTGCAGAACCCTGGAAGAGGAAAAATGTTAATATGACTGGTAATAAATACAAGCCCTAGGTCTAGTTTGGTGGCTACAATACAGTAAGCCACCATTACTTACCTGCAATCCTCTGATCTGGGATCCATGTACCCAAGGCTTCTGGATCAAAGCCAAATCCGCATTTGCGCACGCCACACTGGCACAGAGAGCAGCAGATGTCGCTCTACTATGCAGACTAGGGTCTGGCCCTTCTCCTCAACCTTGCGATTGATTAGCCTCCAGGCCCCCGTCCTCAATTCCCCGTCCTGGCTTTCCAGACGGCGCATGATGGTTTCTGGTTCATCAGGATGACCCGGAATCCATACGATGAACTTAGCGAACTTAGGTAGGTCCCTAGGCTCAACAGTGCTGAGTCTAGCCCCCTCCCAAGGCACCAAACTCGCCATAGTTGTTTTCAGCCATTGCAGGCTCTCCTCGTTGAAGGCAGTGATCGCTAGCGTTCNGTGAAGTTCAGAAATGGTCTGAAGCCCTCCTTCTGAAGTACCTTCACACTCATCTCATCTACTGAGAGGACTAGGGTCTGGCCCTTCTCCTCAACCTTGCGATTGATTAGCCTCCAGGCCCCCATCCTCAATTCCCCGTCCTGGCTTTCCAGAAGGCGCATGATGGTTTCCGGTTCATCAGGATGACCCGGAATCCATATGATGAACTTAGCGAACTTAGGTAGGTCCCTAGGCTCAACAGTGCTGAGTCTAGCCCCCTCCCAAGGCACCAAACTCGCCATAGTTGTTTTCAGCCATTGCAGGCTCTCCTCGTTGAAGGCGGTGATCGCTAGCGTTCCCCCCCTTCGACGACACTCCAGGAAGCGCGGTCGTGTACCCTCGCCCGCGATACCATCAATGGCCCCCAGAAGCGCCGACCAGACAAGTCCCATTTGGTCCTCATCCATTCGGTCTTCCGGGTATCCATGGGGGACCACCACTGCTTGGATCCCAGACAGCGCCTCCCCGTAAGTCTTGCCACGCTGTCCCGTGGCTTTAGAAACAGGCCGGTCGGAAATCGGCTCACTACCGACCGACCGTCCACATTTCTTTCCAAGTCCATTTGGCCCCGGTTCAGCTGCCTGCGGAGTTAGAGTGGTACTCGAGCCAGGTTCTGTCACCGGCCCCTGTCCTTTTCCCGCCTCTGTCTTCCGCAGTTTTTTAAGTTTGCACTTTTGCGCACCGGACAATTGTTTTCTACCTTCCAGGTTCAGTCTGTCGACTCCCCTGGAGATAGCAGTCACTGGTGTTTGCTTCCCAGTGGCTGTTTTATTTTCCGCCCGGTCAGCACTTACTGCTTCCCCGGCAGATGTAGACGGCCCCCTTTCGGGTTCCTGTTTTTTGATTCTTGGTCCATAAAGGTCCCACGAGTCTGGAGGAAATAAAAGTCGCCGCCAGGCAGTGCCCCATACCTGACGGAAGACTAAATACGATGGGATGCGCCAGGTTCCCCAAAGAGATCGTTCACGATGCAACATTTTTACCTACCCCCGCACCATTCAGCCCTCGGCACGATGCATTTCCACCTTGGCTTGGATAGCTGAGCCGTTTCTCAGTTTTCACTACTCTCCCTCGACCTTTCCGGCTTGGGTGACCCTGCCAGGAGTATGAAGCTCCCGCCGGTTTAGCTCTTGGGTTCACTGTAGCTACTTAAGCCCCTCCACCAACGACAAGGTCATACAGTTCCCAGGAAGGGTGCTCCTGGTAAATCGGAAACAAATTTGCTGAATATACAATTTGCTATTTTTGTGTTGATGTGTCAGTGTCATCAACGGTTTCAAATAATATTTGTTTAATTATGGCAAATTTTACTAACAATGAGTATGTTGATATGCTCCAAGTATTTTTTGAATGTCACAAAAATTGTGCTGCCGCAACAAGATTGTACCACGAGAGATATCCAAATCGCCGGGTTCCCCACAGGCAATCTATTTCAGCTGTGGAAAGAAGGTTGCGAGAAACTGGCCAAATTCAACCTAAGCGTGAGGGTAATGGACAAAGACGGTATATCAGAAATGTAAACCTTGAAGAAGCTGAAGAAGCTATACTTATCAATTTAGAAGAAAATTCCCAAACAAGTACAAGAAGACTGGCTACACAGTACGTTTCAAAAAGCCTTGTTTGGAACTTGATTCATGATAACCTTTTACGCCCTTTTCACCACCAGCCAGTTCAAGAATTAACTGCAAATGATTTACCTGCAAGGATTGTTTTTTGCCAGTGATATCTTAACATGTCCAGACACGACAGTTAACCATCGTAATAGTCCTACATGATCTGATGAAAACCCCCCTGAAATATGTCCATCAAGATTTCAGCACAATTTTAGTGTAAATGTATGGTCAGGAATTGTTGGAGATGCTCTAATAGGTCCATTTATTCTTCCCCGTCGGCTGACAGCTCTTGAATATCTTCGATTTTTAAATGAAAATCTCCCAATATTATTGGAGGATATACCACTAGGTGTACGACAAGTTATGTGGTACATGCATGACGGGGCTCCGGCACATAGTACCTCAGCTGTCAGGCAATAGTTGAATTTAAATTTTCCGGGACGTTGGATAGGTCGTGGTGTCGATGCACCCATTAGTTGGCCTGCCAGTTCACCGGACATTACCCCACTTGATTATTTCTTATGGGAACAACTGAAAAGTCTAGTTTATGCTACTCCTGTTAATACTGTTGAAGAATTGCGTCAAAAAATCTTTCTCGCAGCTGACGATATTCGTACCAACCCAGAAATATTTGCAAGAGTACGTCATAATTTTAATCGTCATATTAGATTGTGTTTACAGAAAAATGGGAACTACTTTGAAAATATTCTTTAGAAACTTTTTACTTTAAAATAACGTTATGTTCCTTAGTATTACATTTGAGATTACAGTAGGTAGTTTTAAATTAAAATTTATTATTTAAATTAGGCACTTAAAATAATTTGATTTGTTACATAACGAATACTTACTGTTCCTTCAAAATAAATTTATTAAAATTACTTTACCCGAAAAGCGGTTTCCTTTAGCTATTAATGAGTAGTGTGTTGATGTTTTTGTATTACTGCAACCTGACTGCAACTATTGGCACTGTAAAATTTCCGTAGTTTGTTTTTCGTAAATTATCTAAAAAAACTATCGCATTTATCGAAAAAATGCAAAATGTTTGTTTTTAGTTGTTACATCCGAAAATGTAAATAAGATATGTATTTTCATACAGGGTGAAAAATTCTTTGGAGTAATATGTTGCATGTAGTCGACAGCAGCGCCTCTGGTGGATATATTTAAACAAATTGAAACAAATATTGGTTGGCTCTACAACATTCAAGACCCTGTAATGCCTCAGGAGTGCAACTTTTGTCTAAGGTATATTTAGTTCAGTCGCCTTATTTTTTCATCTAGATGCACTGGTAGCGTTTGTGTTACTCTATTCAAAATCACCCTGTATATCGGATGCCATATTATTTTCATCCTTTAGCAGCATTATATGTTATCATAAATCAGTTTGCAACATCTCAGTGTGATCTTTATATCTTCGGGAGTATGTAAATATATGTGCTTTTATATAACTAAGAGTACATGTTTAGTTCGTACAAATTCCCTATAGGCCAAAAAATGTTGTACAAAAGTATACATCGAAATATACATCTTTTAAACATAATTAAATGGTGACTACATTTTTCTATGTATCCCCCTTTTAGCAACATAGAAGGGACTATAAGGGCAACTGACTTTGTGACACTATACCTACTAGTAGTAGTATTTAGATAAAATAAAGCTTCATCATTCTAACATATCAATTTAATTATTTTAGGATAGCTCAAAATTATGGTATAACTAATATGGCACCATCAACATTCCCTCAGCCTATAACCGTCTCGCAAACAAATTTGCAGAATGGCACTCAACAAGAAGGAAGCCCTTTTGTATCATCTAACACCCACATAACACAATGAATGTTGATATTTTCTTATTTGTAATGTATTTATGGAATATTATATGAGTTCACTATTACTATAAATAAACATGTATAAACAATATTATTGATACCACTGTTAAATATATAATATGTAGATAATATAAATTATGAACTTTGAATTGGTAAATTAATTTTCCATGTTTACATTGAAGAAAATGTATTTAAAATGTTAACAATAGGATAAAATCTTTCTAACGTTACATGTATTACACTGTGACATGTACAAATATTATTTCCTTGGAGCTACCTGTTTGGCTGCTAGAAGGGATGAAAGTTTATTATTAGAAAAAATGTAACAAAACCAATACTCACGCCAGAGGCCATTGAAGAATCTAATTCTCTAGACTAGAGCCACTGAATTGGCATTCATATAATTTTTAAATTGTTTACATACAATTGACAAAATGCTGAATGCATTAGAATCGAAGTAACTGGTTGAAAAGTAGGAATACGGTCGAGTCAATCTTTCTGTTCTTAGAGAGAGTAAGAGTTAGACATAGCGCAAACATCAGTCAATGCTTATGCTATTTGTGAAATTTTCACGAAAAGTACAAAGCGATATTTTAAATTTTGAAAATTACTCCCTCTATGAAATACTTCAGGCCGGTTTTGTGATAAACTAGAATGTCCTTGAGTTGACCTTGGTTTGGTTAGTTTAAACAATGCAACCAATCTATCTTATTGAAAATTGTACAAAAGACACTCTTAAGTAGCCCGTGTAGCTGATGTACAGGGAGTGGCATGTATAATCTATAAAAATTAAACTACAGCTTACAGACGATATTTGTCATAGAAAACTTATACGAAAAAATTCTATCTTCGCGTTTTTTTTTTCTGTAAATTAAAGTTCATTTATTTAACGAAAATGAAGGCCGACCCTGTGTTATTTATTAAAAACTTTGGAAATGTTTTTATGCAACCTGAGATGCAACCTTATAATTTAAGTCGGTATAATCTAATAATACTAATAATAAATACTAAAAGAAGGATAGGTTACATTGTCAGAAAATTTGTGCTGACTTTGTATTTGTATTGAATTCATTATTTACTTTATTAAGCATCATCCATAGACCCATCAGTATTAAAATTTGAAAGATTCCAGACAAAAGTTTTTATTTTGTAATTCCATGATAGTGAC